AATCTGAGAGCTATGAACAACCATTATCTCCAGCAGTCAATACCAAAAACTTACCCCTAACACGACAACACGCGATCCCGTGGAAGGCCAAACATCAAGTCAAAAGTCATCATCAATAACAAATGCAAAGAGGATATAATTTTATAACCTTCCATAGAAATTATTACTAATCCAATGCCTGTAGTAATAGACATATTGAACAAATTGAAAATTGACGAAACATTAGAGTTGAGAAAGACTGACCCAAATACCTCTCAAAAGTTAATACAGAAATTCTCCGAAATAGCTATAAAAATGAGACGGCCCACTCTGTATATCAAAAGTAATGAGCAAAAACATGTTAGCAATACGTAGAAAACCCTATGAAGAAAATCCTACTGGGCAGAGCACACGGAGAAATACATTGGAAAAAAGATAAAATGACGGTTGAGCTTCGAAGATACTGATTGATTCTTGCGAATACTGACGCAACGAAGAAACCAAGAAGCGATTCAGGGCCCCAGGCACACTCGTTGATGCACCTTCAGATATAAATGAAATTTAGTACATAGATCACGCACAGCCAAAGAAATATTTATATTTATTTGTAATTGAAGCTTTATAAAGATTTGTGAAAGTCATAATATTAAATAGTTTTGATGAAACCACTAACGCATTTAAGAACTTATTCTGTGAATAGGGGACGCCTAAGAAAATAACATTAGATAATGGTTCAACGTTTCACTCGGAATCGTTTCAAAAGTTATTGGAACAGCATGGAATAAGTCACTATCCTGTCACACCTTTGCACCCTCAATCAAACGGAATCTGCGAAAGAGTTATCGGTACGCTCAAAAACAAAGTCACTCAAGCGTTAGAAAATAATCGATCGCATATAACCTCAGTTATAAGCTATAACAATACGATACACCCGAGTACAGGATTCTCAACCTACGAACTTTTCTATGCTCGTACACCTAAGGAGATTATGACTGGACCACTATTAAGAGACATAATCGAGGGGAGGTTTAGCAAAGCTGCTCGAGATAAACTTGTAGCAAAAACAAAAATCAATGAAAATAAAGAAAGAAATAAGAAGGTAGTCGACTCAAGACAATCATTAAGATTCAAACTAGAACTGCAGCAACAAGTTATGTTCAAATTAGGAAATGAATATCTTGGGCCAGCGACGATACTTACGATAAATCGAAAAGCAAATACTACACAAATATTATATAACAACGCTATATTTAGACGTGATTCAATCAACTTAAACCATTGCCCGACATCTTTGTTACAGATGAAGGGACTCTTGCTACTGCTTGCCCTAACCACTAGCACGCACGGGCAGATTAACCCATTAAGTGGCAAACGTCCATGGCTGCAATGCTTCGATTTGACATTATGCCATTCGTACAATTCTCAATAGATTTGGATGAAATTTGGTTTCCTTATATTTTAGTGTATGCTCTTTCGAAAAATCACCAAGTTTTTTTGAAAATCTTGAAAGAAAAAAAAATATGGTCGATTTTTTCGAAAAAATTCCAAATTTTTTTCAATTTTTCTCCAAATTTCGCTCTGCTGAAAAGAAATAGACCCTAAAATAGGCTCCCTAAATAATATTTTTCGCACATGGGACAATTATCTTTCAAGCGCATTCGACTTTATTAAAAAATGTTGATTAGAAAAAAAAATATGGTGGTTTTTGTATCGTAGTGTAATTTAGAAATTCATGATTTTTTTACTCAAAAAATGTCAACTTTTGGAAAAATTGTTGTAGAACAAAAAGTACTTAGAATTGGTCGAGGAACACGTGTGAATTTTTACTAAATAATTTGGAAAATTTTTGGAAAATTGAAAATTTGAATTTCCCGAAAATCCAAAAATATTTATACTTTTTTTTGGAAGTGCTTATTTTTGACAATTTTAAGTAAATGTATGTGTTATAACATTTTTTAATAAGTATTTTTCATTATTTTGAGCAGAAGAGTTCTATAATAGTTCATTTTTAGAAATATTTGTTTACTTCAAATTACTAATTTTACATACGAGGTGTGATCAAAAAGTAAGGTGAATTTTGAAATTTAGCGGGCTACGTCCGTTTGATCTTCGACTTTTTTATTTGGTTATGTCGGTACACTCGTCTGTGACGAGAGCAGGCCGTTTGCCGATCTCTCGTCCGCGTTCTCCCTCCCCCACTCGGCAAGGCGTGTTGGCCAACGTTAGGCGCATTAAAGTATGCGTCTAACACTTGGCCTTTTTGTTTCAGCGCCAAGGACGAGCCAGCACAGTTGAGCGCAAGAAAAGTTGAAGAGCGCGGAGAGAGAGAGCGAGAAAGAGAGAGAGAGAGAGAGAGAGAGTATTAGGCCTATGCAGGGATTGGCAGGCGCGCAACGCGTGACCGATAAGCGACGCGTCGCGTGCCGCCTAACTAATAGGTCAAGGTAGGGAGAGGAGCGAGCGCCGCTGAGCGGTTGCAAGATGCGCGTAAGAATTAGTGCGTGAGAGAGTCGCAGCCGAGCCCTACTAGAGTGAGGGAGTCTAAGCCTAGTCCTACGAGAGTGCGGAAGTCCGAGCCCAGCAGAGAGAGCAGTTTGGGATAGCCGGGAGGAAGGAAGATCAACCCTTCCGGCAACGGCTTTGCCAGCAACTGCAGCCAGCCCACCTGCCAAGAGAGTCAACGTCGCCTACGGATACCTGGTCAGCGACAGCGGTTAGCGACGATCTGACCAGCGACGACACCCGGTACTTCCTGCGGCAGCACATCGCTCAGGATTCCCGACGTTGCGAGGAACAGGAGAATAAAGGTCAAGCCTTCCTTTTCTTCTTTCTCTCTACACTCTCTCTCTCTCTCTGTTGATGCGACGACCGGTGCGCGTGGAAAGAGATAGCCTGACACTCACGTGCCGGCTATCTGAAGGTTCGCGCTAGGTTTAATTCATAGTGACGTAAGTTGCGACCGGTGAATGGTCCAGGCGCCCACGTGCCGGGCAATTTACCCGGTATTAGTCCGCGTAGTTTTTAAGTAAATTTGTAATAGGTTAAGTATGCGATTTGGTATTAGGATAAAATGCGAAATGTTCATTTGTGATTATCTTAAGTAGTTTATCGTTCGATTTGTAGTTTGTTGGTCGGTAATTTAGATTATGTTATGCGCGCGTATGTTCTGTGTGAATAATTATTAATAATAATAGGTTGTAAGTGAGATTTGATTCTTCTCTGTGTATAATTTATTTATCAACCTCCCCTCGTTCTTCTCCCTCAATTGTCATGAGCGAAAGTGCCTCACTTACCCCGCAAAAGAATTGGTAACAAAGGAATGAGTTTTGTTACACGTCTAGAACATACGTTCCAAATTTCAGCTTTGTAGTATGTTTGGTTTGTTTGTGAGAGGCATCAAGGTTAGAAGTGTTTTGCGTGCTCCACGATTTGCTGCTGTCTAAAAACATGGATCAAAGAGTTTGCATTAAATTTTGTGTGAAAAATGGAATCAAATGTTCCAAAACACTTGAAATGCTGAAAGTGGCATACGGTGAGTCTACTTCAAGCCAAAAAAATGTTTACAAGTGGTATAAACTCTTCCAAGAAGGCCGAGAAGACACCGACGACGAACCTCGTTCTGGACGCCCCAGCACATCAACAACTGATGAGAATGTTGAAGAAGTGAAGAAAATAGTGTTGGGAAATCGTCGAATTACCATTAGAGAAATTGCTGATGATATTGGCATCTCATTTGGTTCGTGCCAATCAATTTTGACGAGTGTTTTAGACATGAGACGTGTGTCAGCGAAGTTTGTTCCGAAATTGCTCAATTTCGACCAAAAGAAACGTCGCATGAGCATCGCCCAAGAGCTACTGAATGACGTCAACGATGATCCAGATTTACTCAACAGGGTTATAACAGGTGACGAAACATGGATATACGGATATGACGTCGAGACTAAGACTCAATCGTCCCAGTGGAGGCATTCTGGATCACCAAGACCAAAAAAAGCACGCCAAGTTCGATCAAATGTAAAGGTTTTGCTTACAGTTTTCTTTGACTGCAGGGGCGTGGTGCATCATGAGTTCTTGCCACAGGGTAGAACAGTAAATAAGGAATATTACCTGCAAGTTATGCGCAATTTGCGCGAAGCAATCCGCCAGAAACGTCCGAATTTGTGGAAAAATAAAAATTGGCTTTTGCACCATGATAACGCCCCTGCTCACACATCGTTGCTTGTGCGTGAATTTTTGGCTAAAACCAACACAGTAACGATGCCACAGGCACCGTATTCCCCAGATCTGGCCCCCTGTGACTTCTTCTTGTTCCTAAAACTGAAGAGGCCCATGAAAGGACGGTGTTTTGCCACGATTGAGGAGATAAAGACGGCATCGAAGGATGAACTAAACAAGATCACAAAAAATGATTTTTTGAAATGCTTTGAGGATTGGAAAAAGCGTTGGCACAAGTGCATTATATCCGAGGAGGATTACTTTGAAGGAGATAAAATAAAAATTGATGAATAAATAAATATTTTTTGAGAAAAATAAAAATTCACCTTACTTTTTGATCACACCTCGTATGTTATGAATAAAGGCCTTGGCCGTAACACATTACTAAGCAAGTTTTATAAAATAATAATAATAAACATAATAATAAACTTCAGTTTTTATTTATAAAAATCAATTACAAAAATATCATAATCTTATATCTATTGTCGATATTTTTTTGTAGCATTTGCTATTTTGAAAAATGTAATTCGAGTTACCCCTGCAATTTTACTACAGCGATATTTTGAAAGCCTTTTAGAAGGGATTTATTTCAAACAAAATTTCTTTTTGTGTGAAAGTATATTTTCAAAAAATTTAGGATTTTATTATTGTCGTATGCCGTGTAGTTTATCAACTTAACATTTTTAGTTTGAGATGGTGTGATATCCAACCATTTCATTCAAATATTTTGTAAACCTTAAAAGGCAATTACTTGTAATTAAGTTTTTTCTTTTTAATTTTGGTTTTCTTAAATAATTGCTAGTATTATGTCTGGAAAAAAACGCATTTTACCTCAAAGAAGGTGTAATAAAAATAAAAAACAAATTTCATTTTCAAGTGAATCTTGTGAAGTGTCTGAAAATGATGACACGGTAGATGTTGTTATGCTACCACATCGTGAGAGTTCAGATTCAGAATCTGAAAACGAATCTAACAATTCTGAAGATGTTAGTGATGAAGATAATGATGACGAAAATGAAGATAATACTGATGAAAATGACGACGCTGATGATGAAAACGATGTTCACGAAATTGTTGAAAAATTGTTATCGTACCATGAAGTTAAAAAAAGTTACTCTAACACTCAGAAACGTTTGCAAGAAGATCGTGTATACGATTGGACAGATGGAGAGAAAAAGTATGATGAAATTCCATCTAATAAATATTTGTTAAAAGATAAAGATCGTAAAATGATTGTTAATAGTACCCCTTTTGAATTATTTGAAATGTCCTTTTGTAAAAATATAAAAGAATATATCATTGAAGCTTCAAAATTTAACGGTTTAGATATAACAATAAAAGAACTAAATAACTTTGTTGCCATTATTATTCTTTCTGCGTTCAACAAAAGAACATCTGAAAAAGATTATTGGTCCAAATACTGGTTACTCGAGTCCCCAGTAGTTAGATCATTGATGTCGTTGAAAAAGTTTTTGAAAATCAAATCAAAAATCAAATGCTCCAAACCTACAGATAAAAATAAAAAAGATCGTGCTTGGAGAGTTAGAGCTATATTAGAAATTTTTAGGAAAAATATAAAACAGTTTGGTTTTTTTCAGACAGGATTATCCATAGACGAAATGATGATTAAATTTTTTAGTAGACTATTGATCAAACAATTTATAAAAAATAAACCAACTCGATGGGGAATAAAAGAGTTTGGAATTTGTGGTGCTGATCGATACCTCTTTGACTGTGACATATACTGTGGCAAAGGCACTCATAATGATGAATTGTCAAGTATTGCTCTAGGAAGCCAAGCTGTTTTATCTATGAGCGAAGCTTTACTTTCATCAATTTCTAGAAGGAAAATTGAAGAATACCATCTTTGGTTTGATTATTACTACACAAATCCAGACTTACTTATTCATTTAAAAAAGCTTGGCTTACGAGCTACTGGTGTAATTAGGAAAGATCGTATACCAGTAAAAAATGAAATTGATAAAAAAGCTCCTCGTGGAACTTTTAAAGTTCAATATGAAAAAAATAGCGGAATGATCTTCGTAACCGTGGTAGATTCTAAACAAGTTTCGATTATTTCAACTGCAGCTGGTGTTACACCAACGAAAGAAGTGAAACGCTACTCCAAAGAAAAAAAAATGAAAACTGACATTTCTATGCCACTTGTGTTTTCACTTTACAACTTATTTATGGGAGGTGTTGACCTACACGATCAGTACTGTAGTGCTTTATTACCTATTATTAGAAGTAAGAGATAGACTTGGCCAATATTGATGAGAATTATCCAGTCTTCTATTGCAAATGCAGTAATACTCTATAATGCTTGTTCAGGCAAAAAAAAAGTAAGCGCAAAGAAATTTGCTTTGAGTATTGTAGATAGTTATGTCAAAAACGCTAAATTAGGTGATTTGAAAAACCACAATTTGAGCCTAACTATCAGAGGAAGAGCTTGCAATAGACAAGGATGTGCTACTCGTACGTTTTACATGTGTAAAGAGTGTAAAAAGTATTATTGTAGTCAATGTTTTGCTAATTTACACAAGTAAATAATTGGTAACAAATGATTATCAAAAAGAAATATTTCTAAAAACATAAAAATTGAATACAAAAGAATACAAAAAAACAAAAATTACAAAATACAAAAATACAAACAAAAATACAAACAAAAAAACTATTAAAGTGGAGGTTTTTTAATTTAAAAAATTTTATTTAGCTGCGTAAATTCGCAAAACTTGGATTGTATTTCCGTTACATTTTCGGTTGAATTCAAATACATACCAGACATAAAATCACTAAGAATTGTCAAAAAAATATGTTTTGAGAGAAACTTAATTATTATAAAATTATTCAAAAATTTTCAATTTTTTATTTTTAAAAAAATTTTCCAATTTAAAAAATTCTCACATGTTTCTTGACCACTTCTAAGCACTTTTTGTTCTTTAATATTTTTTTCAAAAGTTGATATTTTTCGAGTAAAAAAATCATGAATTTCTAAATTACACTACGATACAAAAACCGCCATATTTTTTTTTCTAATCAACATTTTTTAATAAAGTCGAATGCGCTTGAAAGATAATTGTCCCATGTTGCGCAAAATATTATTTAGGGAGCCTATTTTAGGGTCTATTTCTTTTCAGCAGAGCGAAATTTGGAGAAAAATTGAAAAAAATTTGGAATTTTTTCGAAAAAATCGGCCATATTTTTTTTTCTTTCAAGATTTTCAAAAAAACTTGGTGATTTTTCGAAAGAGCATACACTAAAATATAAGGAAACCAAATTTCATCCAAATCTATTGAGAATTGTACGAATGGCATAATGTCAAATCGAAGCATTGCAGCCATGGACGTTTGCCACTTAATGGGTTAACATGACGTACCACTCCATACCATTGCTGAGACAAAACTTCGGTACTGCTTATCTGTATGAAGATACATGGACCGTAGTTAATCACATCAATCTATCCGCACTTCTGCAAAACGGAATAAAAATTGATCAACGTTTAGATCGTATAGTTTCTATTTGCAAAAGTCATCCCTGTCAAGCCAAAGACTTCATCATGCACCAAAAGCGTAGGCTAAATAGCCTTACACAAAGTATATTACTCTTCCAACCACACGATACAAAAGTTCATAACAGACAAAAGAGATGCTTATTCAACTTTGTCGGATCAGTCAATAAATTTCTTTTCGGTACTATGGATGCAAACGATTCTGAATATTACAATTAAGAAATAGAAAGACTGTACAGCCACACAGGAAAAACTTTGATGGCCGTAAGAAACCAAACCATATTTATGCAAGACACCTTCAATGAATTTTCAAAAGAATTTTATTCTTTCAAAAGAAACGAAGAAGAGTTGCTAAAATGGAATAAAAATATGAGATCCATATTCACGAACTATCAAACCAACATACATCTGTCGCTTGAAGAAATTAACGTTTCCATAGAAGAATATGATAAATACATATCGGAGTTATTTATATGTATAAATATTGCACAAAACGGCATATTATAACCAGCCCTTATAAAGCAAGAAACGCTCATACAAGGTTTACAAGAAGCATATCAACAGAACGTGTATATTGAATACTCGTACTCTTACCACCTCATATCAATAACTATTTTTCCATCATACGAGGGTCGTTTGAAAAGTCCGTGCAAAAATAAAAACTGCTTGATTTTTTTTAATATATCTTTTTTATTTTTCAACATTGTCTCCTTTTAGTCTTATACACTTCATCCAACGCTGCTCTAGTTTGTTAATCCCTTCCAAATAATAGGATTTGTCACATCTGTAAAATAGGCATTCGTTTCTGCAATCACCTCCTCGTTTGAATAAAATCTTTTCCCCGCCAGCCATTTTTTCATATTAGGGAACAAATAGTAATCCGACGGAGCCAGGTCTGGAGAATAGGGGGGATGTGAAACGAGTTGGAACCCTATCTCCATCAGTTTTGCGGCCACAACTGCTGAGGCGTCAGCTGGCGCATTGTCGTGGTGGAAGAGGACTTTTTTGTGGGCCAATCGCGGACGTTTCTCTAGCAACTCGATTTTTAAACGATCCAATAACGACGAATAATATTCGCCTGTAATGGTTTTACCCTTTTCCAGATAGTGGATGAAGATTATTCCTTGCGAATCCCAAAACAGTCGCCATAACCTTCCCGGCCGAAGGAATTGTCTTTGCCTTTTTCGGAGCAGATGCCCCCTTGGTAACCCATTGTTTAGACTGTTCTTTGGTCTGACGAGTGTAGTGATGTATCCATGTTTCATCTACAGTGATGAAACGACGCTTAAAATCTTGCGGAATTTGCTGGAACAGCTGCAAACCATTCTTGCAACACTTCACACGATCTCGTTTTTGGTCATTCGTGAGCAATCGCGGCACCCATCTAGTGGATAGCTTTTTCATGTCCAAATGTTGGTGCAAAATATTAGGTATCCGTTCGCTCGAGATGCCTACAGTGCTAGCAATCTCACGCATCTTCACTCTTCTGTCAGCCATCACCATATCATGGATTTTATCAATGATTTCTGAAGTGGTAACCTCAACAGGGCGTCTAGAACATTCAGCGTCTTTTGTGCTCATATGGCTACTCCGAAAATTTTGAAACCACTTATAAACCATTCTAATCGAAGGTGCACAATCACCATAATGTTTATCAAGCTTCTGTTTAATCTTCTGAGGCGTTTTGCCTTTGAAAAAGTAATGTTTAATCAATACACGAAATTCTTTTTCGTCAATTTTTTCACAGCCACTCGATTTCTTTGATTGAAACGAATGTAAAACGCAAAGTAATTGGCCGATCTGGCTGAAACTTGGTGTGTGCTCTTCCGAGATATGCCATTAACTGAAAATAATCTTGATACGCACTAGTAGCGCCATCTCTCTGACTTTGCACGGACTTTTCAAATGACCCTCATACAGTCTATGACTTTCTCGTCATATATATCGAAAACAGGACTGACTATTGTCACAAAATATCCTATTGCGTACGCAGAACCGAATACGAAGTTATACGAAATAATACAAAGTTATAAAATTGCGCGCATTACCCTTGGAAAGTCGCTTAAATTTCCTCGGATTACTCGAAATTACACAGCAACACATACTCATATCTAAAGATAATACCAAGTATACAACTATCGACGATATCAACGTATGTTCACGCAATGACCAAGGGAGAATATGTAAACTTCAGTTGTATCCAAAACATCTGAACTCGCTAGATAACTGTGAAAGATTGCTTCTTAATATAATATTAATTAATTAATATTATATTAATAAAAATTAATTAATTCTTAATAGATAGCACATGACGTACGTACCTATATTGAAAGCTATCCAAAGGTGAATATACCATCGCTTCCCCAGAACACATCGCTCGTGATTCCTACACTCACACAACAGACGCATCACTTTCAAAATCTACAAACGAAAGTAGCAAGCTTAAAACAAATAGAAGAGAAACTTGAGGTATTGTCAAAAGAACAGCGTAACCACTCTTACATTGCTACTGCCATAGATTACACAGATTTACAAAATAAAAAAAGTTGATGCCTATTTGACCAGACCATATAACTTTTATGTATTTCGATGCGCTGAACATGAATCCGAGGTCCGTTGATCAAGGTCTTTCGAAGCTCAAATGTATTTAATACAACGGAATTCAAAATTTGACTACGGATTCGGAAAGAGCGGGAAATTTTACGTTCAAATACATATTGTTGGTTTTTTCCAACATGACCTTTAAAGGACATCTAGAGCTTAAACAAATAATAAATAGACCTTATTTGCTTTTTATCCATATGAACTTGTTTTTGAGACCTCCGATGGGCTTCTATTGTATACTGTCATGTATCTTTGTATTCTGAATACAAACCTGGAATCCATTTGACCTCATCCAGTTAGGATCAAGGTCATTTCAAGGTTAATTCGTTAATTTTGCACAAAAAAAAACAAATATAACCCTAGTCTTTGAACCCTGGTTGCTTTAACCCTCGAGCCCTGCATCTCTGCGTGACTATAACCCTGGACTCTCAACCTCCGATCTCCATATCTTAATTTTCTCAGCCCCGAGCCCGGTAACCTGCAACTCTACAACCCCGACCTTCACGTCCTAATTTCATGAACCCGTGATGCGATGAACTTCGATCTATATCGCGAAAGGCTTTTGAGCGTACAGAGGCGAGGGGCCTTGAGGACATCTAGCGCATACTGGACGGTCTCGAGAGAAGCTATTCTGGTTGTCGATGGTGTAATCCCCGTAGATCTTCTTGCTAGGGAGCGCAAGAGGATCTATGACAGAAGGTTAAACGAAAATAAAGTAGAAGTAGCCAAGGAGGAGAGTGATAGAACAATAGAGGTATGGCGAGAACGGTGGTCGAGAGATGGTAAAGGCGTATGGACGAGAAGGTCAATTCCCGACATTGGGGCGTGGATGGAGAGGAGCTTCGGAGAAGTGACTTCTACCTTACGCAGATGCTTACGTGCTATGGGTACTTCAAATGCTACCGGGATTCTCCGAATAGTAAAGTAGAGAACAGGGTTCTAGATAGGAGGATTCACTTGCTTTTTACCACCGCATAAAAAATCCCAAACACGGCATAGCAAATTCTACACGCCCCGACCTTGATATTCTCGAAATCGAATTGAAATCCAATCGAAATTTAAGATCTTCTAAGTTTCTAAAGTCAGTTAAAGGTATGAAAATCAGGAAATCTCTGAAATTTATATTAAGTATTTCAATGTCATGGT